CTCTGTCGCATAATGGGTATTCGTAAAACACGCACTACAGCATACCACCCACAAGGAAATGGTTTGGTTGAACGCACTAATCGGACACTAAAATCACTTCTGCAGGCATTTGTAGATCAAAACAACCCTCGGGAATGGGACAGATCTCTCTCGCAGTGCTTAATGGCGTACAGAGCAAGCATTCACAAAGCTACGCGTCAAACGCCTCACTATATGATTACCGGAAGAGAACTCCGGTTGCCAGTTGACTTAACTTCAAACACACTAGGAGGTGACATGCTGTTAGCATCAGAACACGTTATCAAACTGAGACCTAACCTAAACAAGGTACACCAGATGACTAGGGATATACTTCAAACAAATCAGAAGTATCAGAAGGAATACTACGACAGGAAAGCACATGGATCACCCGTGGAGCCGGGAGACAAGGTAATGTTACTAAAGGAGGCACCGCCTAAAGGGAAAGCTCTTAAATTCCATAAACGTTGGGATGGACCATTTACGGTAGTAGAGGTACTTAGTGACTGCACATGTAGGATCCAGGGTCCCAATGCCGCTCATAGTCTAGTCACACATTTTAATAAACTGAAACCTTTTCGGCAACAAGCCTTAGTTCAGACAAGTCCTGCACTTACAGTCACCTAGCACTGTGGACAGTGCTCCTATAGGAGGAGGGGTAGTGTAAGGCCTGGTAAGTAAGCGGTTTTCTAGTGTTTAAACTGTATGTTTATCTAATTTCAGGTTGGCCACGTAGCGTACAGGGATTGGTCGCCCAAGACGACTCAACGGATGACCAATAGGAGGACTCTTCCCCTCTCCCCTAATTGTATTATGATTGGTTGTAAACAAACTCCTTGCCCTTGAGTCTTCGTTCTTACTAGCACGCGGCACTTGTGTGATCACCCTGCTAACGTGCGCTTTGCTCTCTGTTTCAGATCATTGCTTGACGATTGGCCCTACAGAATGGAACGATCGCTTGCAAGTTGGAAGAAGGTGGAAAGAACACGAATAAAAGTACTTTATAACTTCATTTGTACTTAACATTTGTTTGCAGACTTTGTATTTTGTCTCGCTTTAATTGCCAAACAATATAATTTCGTTCAAGGAATACTGGTGTTTTGGATTTAAAGTTGAGATATATACATAGTATTTATCGGTTCAAAACGAAAACGTCTTCACTAGAATAGGAACTTAGGGCTAAGTTCCTTGACAGTTTTTATTCTTCTCTTCGTCTTCGTGGCGCCTTCTGGAAATCTTCCGGGTGTACTTACTAGATCTGCAGCCAGCTTCTCTTTGGACAAGGATTATCAACGCAATTTGGATTCTTTGGTGACGTTGGATAATGCCTGGGTCAAGAAAGGGATGTGGCACCATGGAAGCAGACAAAAAAGTAAGTAACGATGAGTTGCCTGTTAATTGTAATGATATGTATGATGCTCAGCATGTTGAGTTTGATGTTCACGCTTCACCGTTAAGTGATAGTAAGGGATTAAGATTGCCTGAGTTTGAACCGCGATACTTCGATGGAAACCCAGCCGACTACCCACAGTTCATCAAAGAGTTTGAGGTCATGCTGAGTGGTTTTGTATTAAATGATGAAATGAAGTTAATGTATTTGTTGAGATATTGCACTGGTGTGGCTGCAAGAGCCATACAGTGCTGCAAGTTTATGTCCCCAAAAGAAGGATATACTGAGGCAATGAAGATACTACGTCAAAGGTTTGGAAAGCCATTTATGATATCCCGTAGTATTTTCGAGACAGTGAAAGGTAACGGATCACAGTTAAGCGATAATGCAGAGGAACTTGCAGAGTTCTTGGATAATTTGATGGTATATAGAAGTACACTCATGTCTCTTAACTGCGTAGATGAATTGAACTCAAGTTCCGTGCTTGAGACTGTTGCCAAGAGATTACCTGTTCGTCTACAAAGGAAGTTTATAAAGGTTTGTTCACGTCTAGAGGAGGAAGGTTTAGAGCCCGGGTTGGATGACATTGTGAGCCTGGTGAAAGACAGTGTCAACCAAGCTTTGAGCAAGTTTGCTAGTATACTGCATCCCTCCCCTGGAATAGAGAAATCAGAGAGTAAAATGCAATCATTTATGACGAAGGGGTCTCAGCGTATTGGATATCGAGAAAGCTGTATGGTGTCTAGTAAACCTAATGATTGTGACAGCTTTAGTGGGACGTCCCCAACGGATAAGTTACAAGCTGCAAGACAAACACGGTTGTGCTTCGTCCGTTTGCAAGAAGTGCATACAAAGGCGAACTGTGAAGCAATGAGCAAGTTTAGTGGCAAGCTAAATGTGAAGTCAGCGTCATCGTGTTCTGACTCCGAATCGTGTAACGATAATGGTGCGGTGAAGAAGCCTGTAGTCGTAACTGGTAATCCATTGTTGAAAAGAGTGTCTCAGACGACACCGCAGTTTGTGCATAAGAAGAGGGTTACAGTTTCAGTGTCCAGTTCTGAGTACACAAGTTTACAAGGTATTACTAGTCAGAGTAAAGGTATAAAACCTTTAAGGATTCATGAAGAAGTACCTAAGTCATCTACGGTTGTTATTAAAGAGTTTGAAAATGATGAAGTCGATCATACAGACGGCGGTAAAGTGGGTATTTGTGACAATGGTCACGATAGTTCACATTTGTCTGTGGCTGATCATGATGAGATTAGCGGAATGCCTACTACTACTGAGTTGAACGAAGGTTCTGTACAACTTGAAAGTGAAGTAGAATTAAAGGCAGATGCGGTTGCTGCAGATATGGATACTCGTGAGGCCGTCAGTGTAAATGATCGGAGTGTAGCCCAACTATCGACAGATGTTAAAGCTGAACTGGAGCCAATAATAAAAGATAGCAGTGGTGGTAATCCTGTGGTTAGACAACCTCCTAAAGGTCTAACAACAACAGCTTCTGATACACCGCTAAGTTCATCAACTGGTGTCAGCCAGTCGTCGTTGGTGTTGTCATATGCAGTAAAAGAGTCGTCCATGAACCCACGTGTCTTATGCAGTGATTATGCTAGTGTCGGTCCGTTCGAAGGGACGAAAGTTAATGGCCAGTTTAGTGACGACAAATCAACTGTGTACAAGGTGGTAACTGTTAGACTGACTTGCACGAATAAAGGCATTTCAGGTTTCAAACTACTATTTGAATGTTATTATCTTTGGTGCAAATTACTCTGTACCTTCGCTTGGTTGGTCAGATACGTCGTATGTTTGTTAGTCATCTACCTTCCACGATACAATGTCATGGGCGTGTTACCATTCAGAGTCGAGGATATAGATGATGGAAGGAGGTCAGCAAATGAACTCAACGACGATTTTCCAACTTAAGGGCGTAAACCTGAGAAGGGTTGTAGGCGTACTGCTGTAAGTCCTACAATTCTTCAAGGGTAGTACGTCGAAGAGCAGTCCATCGTACTTGGTGTATTATTTTGTACATATGTTCATATTGTATATAATGAATTGGTATCATCCCTCTTCTATCTGTTGATTAATTTTGTTTGTGTCCGAACGTCTTCCACTTGGATCGTCAACCTGAGAAGGAATGTAGGCGTACTGCTGTAAGTCCTACAGTTCTTCAAGGGTAGCTCGTCAAAGCAGAATCCGCAACATTTGATATATTGATTGTACATATGTTTGTGTTGAGTAATTCAGTGGGTTCCGATTCATCTGATTGTCGGTTAATTTTATAGTTGTCGCATTGTGTGAATCATCTTGTAATGTTTTGTAAGTACTTCTGAATTCGCTTCTAAACTTGTGAACGAATCGAGTAGAGTTAGAGTCAGCGTACGCGATTGGATACGCCGGGGAGAGGATTGGGCTAGAGTGGAATGAAGCAACCAATACTCCGTGAACCAGATCAGTGGTGGTACTGTCGTCAGAGAGCGTAGATCCCATGCGCCGGGGAGAGCGTGTCGGTGTGATGTGGTATGTTTGCTGTGTGTTGGGCTTTTTTGTCTTGCTTTTCCAATTTTAGCCTAGTCCCGATTGGCCCAGGTTCCCGCATTGGCAGTTCAGTTCAAGGTTACCGCCGCTGTGGAAAAAAGGGATGGACCCTTTTTTGCCGGGGAGTGTCAATGGACGTGAACATTGAACGTTTGTTTTATTGGAACTGGCAACCATTGGTGGCCAATTGAAGGCGCGAATGGAACGATCGCTTGCAAGTTGGAAGAAGGTGGAAAGAACACGAATAAAAGTACTTTATAACTTCATTTGTACTTAACATTTGTTTGCAGACTTTGTATTTTGTCTCGCTTTAATTGCCAAACAATATAATTTCGTTCAAGGAATACTGGTGTTTTGGATTTAAAGTTGAGATATATACATAGTATTTATCGGTTCAAAACGAAAACGTCTTCACTAGAATAGGAACTTAGGGCTAAGTTCCTTGACACCCAGTTTATGTCAACTAAAAACATGTAGCCTACATGTGTTATACTGCTTACTGAGATATTTCATATCTGCTTTCCAATCTTCGTGACAAGAATACAGTATATGTAGGTTTACCTACATATACAAAAGTATATAGTTATATGCTGCATCAACCATGCCGTTGTCACTATGATTAACCAGACCTCTGTGTATTTTATACTAATTTAGGGATCTCTGAAAATAATAGTCAAGCGATAATTGAAGTTGCGTGAAGTTATCACCTCTTCGGAACATTGCTTGCATTCTTGACACTCCTGTGAAGTACTTAGATCTTGATATGAGATGAATTCATTGAATTCAGGAAATAAATCCTCTGGTATATCATTTCTATCATGAGCTGCAATAGTATGTGCTCTCAGTTATGCACCCGACTTGATGAAACGCTCCTGGAGATGGTGAACTTAACCAAGCAGCTAAATGATGTTTGAAATTATCGCTACTCCAGTGACAAACTGGCCAATCAAAAGCGAGCAAATCACTTGTTTATTTCACTCGCGGGCCCATGAAATCACGACCGTCGACAGGCTGCCGCTGCTTGGTTGTGAGGTAAAGATTTCACAAATAAATGCAATTCAAATTGAATTCCTTGAACTCTCTCATCAGTGAGGAGGTGATGAAACGAGGTCCGTCCTATGATTTCTCACAAACACCTCTCCAGTCACCTGCCGTGGCTTTGAAAATCCCCAACAGAAGTGGTAGGTTGCTTATTTTGTAAGAGAATTTTATTGGAATAAGACCACAGTGTTGCTGTCATCAATATCATCTCCCATTGCTGGTTTGCAGAGTATAAGGTGACAACAATATATGACGGCGATGGCAAAGATACAAAAGGACGATTTTGGAGAGTAACAGCTGACAGACGGACGAATAAAGCGAACCGATAATCAGGCAGAGTACAGTAACACAACAGAGCCTGCTAGAGCCGTAAGGCTGGTTGGAAGCCTAAAGAAAAATTGTAGTATTAGTTGTATACCAATTTAATCGTATCGGCATGGAAATGGATGTACTCCATGTATTGCTGTTTGATTATCTAACCCCAGCTTGAAGCATTGCACTGTTATTGCTAAAGTTGTCGATAAAAATAAGGATGACGATCCCAAAGCAAAGACAAGCAGATGAATTTCATTTCCCCCCTATGACTAGCTGTGCATGTGGATAATAGCGAGGGAGTCTGTCGTGATTAGGACCACATTTACAGTGAGTTTGATTGCTAATAATATTGCAAACAGTTGTTACGTCGGCTTCAGATAAGTGTAAAGAGGCCTATTATTCAGAGATTTTCCTCGGACGAATTGTTATGAAGAACCCCTACCACGTTTTCTGGGGGTTTCTCATCTGTGCCCAAGTATTTGGAAACCCACATAAGGAAAGATGGAGTTCTCGTTTCATGCACCCAAGGGTAGGATCACATGCAAGTGTGTAAAGTTTCAGGAAAGGTTGTAGCACAAGTGTGTAGAGTCTGGAACAACAAACATCACCGCCACAGAGCACGAGTGATTCGAAATTAAACCTGAGCTCCCTGGCACTATGTAAACTAAGCCTACTTCTAATGCGACTCTACAAATTCCGTGAAGACAGATGCAATGAGGCATACAGGTGACAGTTTAGCATTTCAGAAACCAAAAAGTTATTCTGCATTAATGTCTCTGAACTCGTTTTTGCTGGAGCTCAACCAGAAACAGAGCTCATGATTGTTGTATGGCCATTTGTACCACTAGATCTGAGCTATAGCCATACTTTGGTGAGATCTGTCTGCTAGCCAAAATTGGTAGACAGCAATTCACGTCAATGTTTACTTCCCAAATCTTGGTCTTGAGAAAAACAATAACAAAGACTTCATGTGAGCGGATACGATTCGCAGATATATGGTCTGACCTTCAAAGAAATGGCCACAAAGAGATGACAGATTAACTTTCAGCGAGAAAACAATCAATCAGAAGACTCTGTTTCCTTGCTAACCATAACGAATAATAATCCACATAAAAGTATATAAATATATGTTGTCTCCTTAATAAACGATCTGTTGCCTGGCCCTTGCCGTTACCATACTACCTGCTGACTCTCTGACCCGGTACATCTAGCCTGGTGGCCAGGCTGCTCTCAACACTGCTCCAGCTGGAGAAGGAAGAATATGGCCCTTACTGCTGTCCAAGGATCTACTTATTGGCGATGGTATGAAGAGAGAGCAGAAATGAAAAATCACACCACGGCCGCACCCCTATCCTTTTCAAACAAGATTGTCTGCAATCCGATCCGGTCAGTGCAGATGAACAAACTGACCTTTGAAATCGAAATATCCGGTGTTTAAATTAATGATCGAACTTTTTAGATTTTTTACTTTTCTCCCCTTTCAGAGCCATATGGGCTACCTGAAAAAGCTTTGAAGCTTTTGTAGAAGGCGAGTATACCATTAGTGTGCCTATTATCAGTTGAAAAATAAGATGTATTACAAGAAAATCTAAATCAAACAAGTTTGAGCCACACGAGAAGTGTGAATCTGTTGTGCTTGTATGTATTTTTGGGAACAAAAAGAAATTGGAAAGCAATCGGAAACCTCTAAAGGGTAAGTTTTGCCTATGCTTGTTAATGCCTAATGTGCTAGATCCAAAATACATGAACTAGGACTGCCTGTAGTGAAGCCAGTGTTAACGACCATTGAATTTGTTGCAAAACGATTTAAAAGCGGATAACACACGAAGATCTTTTGAGTGTACGAACTATCCCAGTTAATGGTAAGACTTTAATTAGCAAGAATAACGTTTCGGGTTGTGGTCTACAACCGGTGGTTTTCTCGAATTTACAACAAGCTGAGAACCTGATTATTATTCGGGGTCAAAATATTGGCTGAATACAAATTGTTTGTTTCAGTTCAAATAATGAAATTCTTATATTTCGGATGTTTGTGACTTCTCCGTGGCTATAAATACGGATGTCCGTGATTTTTAAGAAAACTTTATATAAATTTTCCTTGAACCAATGGTCTTCTTGTTAGCGAAACATCAGTTGATGTGATTAGACGATTAGGTAGCAAAGTAGAATGTTCTGTGGTTGAGAATCGTAGTCGTGTTTCGGATTAGTATCGCGCGTCCAACTGTTATAACCCTATGGATATAGCTTTTTCCTCATGGTGCATTATGATATCTACAAATCATAGGCACGCTGTCTTCCGTAAATTCATTTTTGCTTCATAAGTGACTGCAAATAGTGAGTCACTTCAAGTGATAGGATAAGTACCCCTAATGCTTTCGTGGAGATTAGGATATATTTGCTTTTTTCGCCTAGGAGACGATCTTTTTACCAAGGAAGTTATCACAATTTCCAATTTTACTTTGCAATTTAAAGATAAAGCTAATTTGCTCACTAAGGTAGTAGCTATTGGAGATTACCTTCAGCGGAAGCTATTTTAAGGTAGCTGCGTAGCTTTAGGTAGTGCGTTAAAGAAGTAAGCAGCGTACGTTGATTGTGTGTAAGTATATTAAACGTTGTGAAACTGGTCAAATCGTAGTTCTTACGTACCGGTTAGTCTTATAAATAATGAATGTACCGTACAAGAGTTTACTTTGATTTTCATACTCATTATGCCTACATGTGGTATACATTTAAGGCTGGTACGCTGTGTGATGCGTTCTATGATACAGGTCAAACAGAATAAAGTGGCGTCGTTAAAGTCTAATAATAATCTTAAATTCCAAAAACAGTACTTGCAATACAGAATGGAACTCTCAGGATTTGTCACAATATTGCATCTGAATTACTTAAAATATAAATTAGCCACAGGAAATTGTCCACAGTTATGGTATTAAGTCAAAAATATTCGAGAGAGGATTATAAGTATAAGAATAATAACAGTAAAGCTCAATGTGATGAGGATGGGGAGAATGGTTTATTCACTAGTGCACAGAAGGTTAGTTAGCTCGTGCCTGACACTATTTTATCGCACCACATACCTGTGGTATCAAGGATGTTATAAACAAAGACGTGCACGCATACAGCCTTTTGAAGTGACTTCTTGTATTGCTTGAGCAGACACAAGGTGAAAGCTGCAGGTAAAGTTAATGCTCACAGTCTGCCAAAATCAAGTGCACATCGTCGTTGACGATTGCAACGATATGGCCCAAAGGGAAATCACTCGCCCTACTGACCGACAGTCTTCTGAGTTTTACGAAGTATGACATAGTCTTTTTAAGCAATCCAGGAAAGAATAAGGGTACAGAAGAATGGGTAAGATGCACGAGTTGGCAAACTGTAAGAGGAGGGGTTGAGTTATGCCTAAGTGCCCTAACTTCTTAGTGTGAAAAGTCGGACGAAATATTCTTTTAGAAATCGCTTAGACATGGGAAGACCAAGATTGGTCTGAAGAAAGAATTAATCCAAGATACTTAACGTCAGACTTGATTTCTGCATCACTTTCATCAATTATACAACGGTCACAGGAATTAACATATTCATTTAATTTTCTTTTACATTTAAAACTGAAACTAACAGTCTGACATTTGTAAGGATTCAGTTTGAGGTCATTAAACAGAGACCATTTACTGACTCCTGATAGAAAGCTATTCATCTTAGTACAGTCTAGCTGGGAGTTAACAGGCATTAAAATAGTTCTGTCATCCGCATACTTAACAAACTAAACATGCAAATACTGCAGTTGTTGATCATAGAAATGATGGATATTAGAAAACATCACATGAATCAACGGCATATTAGCAATAAATAAAAATTGTTTCTTAGCTCATCGCCAAGTAAACAGTCCATTTGATGATGTCACTGCATATTAACAGATTAATGAAGCAGCCATTAACCCTAAGTTACTACACTTTCCTGTACTACATACTTGGCGTTTAGCAGTATACAGACTTGCAGCTGGCTAGATAAGGCGACTTTAGCGTATTGAACAGTACAGAATTATTATTCAACTTGCTAAATCCTACTTAGGTTTTACAATGTGCTATTTTATAGAAACAGACGCGAAATCTTACAAATGACCAAAGTAACCGTCTCATAATACTATAGTGAGTCTCCGTTTCACTAATTAATCTTAACATGAATGAATCCGGATTCACGTATTACAAAAGCACATAGTATAGCGATGCACTGAAGAAGTTCAGAAGGAGTAGAAATGAAGAGTATATTAAGCATTTCATTAATTTACAAATAAAAAGTCTGATGAAGGGCATTAGCATTAGTTTGACCGATTGACATTTCCGCTGATTTCATATTCGACAAACTCCATATACCTAAAATATAAAGCACAACATGAAGTTATGAAAGATAATTTTATGTATCAGTATGCAATATGAAAACACTGATTCCATTAATACTGAGTAAAATTCTCATGCAAATAAAAGTATTTGTAGTCCATAGGTGGTCTTTATATTGACACCGTATGCATAAATAGACCTCATATGTTTTCCTGTATTAGAGGATTGTACGCAAATTTCAAGACAATATCTGAAACATCCATACAGTTGAGGCGTCATTCTCTCATGAAGATTACTTGCAGTTCAACTTCGCACTAAATACGTTTACATTGAAGGAAATATCGCAAATGTGTGACTTAGAAATGAATCAACAACCACAGTAATATCTACTGAACACATTTTTGTGAATCCTACCGAAATTACTTTCTCTCTCAAATATAAGCAGAACATGCCTCAACTCTAAACAGCTATGCAGTGTTAACAGCAAAGAGAAACTTAAAATATTGCAAGATCTTTTGTGTCGATGGGGATAACAATGTCATATAATGCAACCTAGACATTCAACTGTGACACTGCATCTGTACTCCTTCATATTAATGGAAATTTCAGGAGAAATTCATCTCCACTATCGATGATCACAACCATTGCAGCATCAAGTTTACAATGTCAGTGAATACGGTATAACAAACAGTAGATTGACAGTAGTAGAGCTGACTAGATTTAATTCTCATATTACTATACACTGAATTAATGAACTAAGTGAAACAGCGAGTAAAACACAACTAGCTATTGCC